GGCGCGCTCTACCGAAGGGGCTGGCATTGTCTTACGTTTCCTACGGCAGCGCCCCGAGATAGTAAGCGTGCTCGTCGAGGCCGTCACGGGGGAGAAGATACTTGAGGATCAGGAGACGGAAGATGCGGTTAGTGATTCGCCAGAGGGGTCTGGTTTGAATCTCGCGGTGATAAGCAGCGGGCTAGGTCAGCTCGAACCGCAGCAGGTTGACCCAACGAAGGCCGCAACTATGACGAAGGTGGATCGGGAGAACGGCCTGGTTTTGATCACAGAGCTGCTGAGGCAGTGTCCGGATGGGCTTTCCCCTACGACAAAGAATACGTTCAGCCGGATCTCGAAGACGGGTGGAGAGTTGCTCCTTGGTGATAGAAGCGAGGCGTCACAGGGGAAGATCAAGTCCGTAGCGAGTTGATAAGCTTATAGACCAGGGGGTCACAGTTAAACGTCCAACTTCGGATCACCACAGTGGTGTAAATTATAGATCCTGATAGAACTGATCTTTTGTGAGGCTGACTCAACATCTGCAAATAAGTTAGCTTCACCATTCACTTAGTCTGCAATCGACTTCGATTGATGCTCGAGTCACGGCTTCATGTCACAGTGCCTCGAAAGATGCGCAAATCATGTTCATTCATTTTCCATTGAGAACGACCTAGAGTAAACCGGAAGATGCAATAATGCTTCGGTCCTTGCTGTGTGGCGAGAGAATGATGAGATATGTTCTCTCCTGGCTACACAGAAACCGGAAGCCAACCCACCATGACCGTCCAACAACACAACGAAAGCAGAACCCTAAGAATGCCGTCCGTACTCCCGTGCAGACCCTTGCGGAGTTCAACCTCCATCTCATTTCTTGTTGGCCTCAGCCTCGGCCTTGTCTCTGGCTCGCTTCTCTCGTGCCCCTTGCAGTCTCTTGTCACTTCTCGCCTTGCGAAGCTTGGCGAACGCACCGCCCTCAATCGGCTTGGGTAGGTCGCTCTTCTTGATCTCCGTGATAGCCTCGCCGACGGGAACGATAGGAAGGGCAGATCCAACTGTGGAAACAGTCTCGGTCTTGCTGAGATCGATGTCCTTGCTGTCACCAGCCTTGGGGTGCTTGGCGCCCTTACGAGGGAAGACGATCAATCGGGCCTTGTAGGCCTTGAGGCGGGCCACATTGGCAGCGAGGGATTCCTCGCTAAGGTTCTGGCGGCGGTAGTCGACGGCGATGCCGATGGTAGGGGCCACAAGGCGGGGGATGCCGGCTTCCTATACAGATATTAGAAGAGTTCCGTCGAAACACAGAGCTTGCTCGAGCGTGACGGATACGTAGAGACACGATACGAGCAAGTGAACACCCTCTCTATGCACAAAGAGAAAATATGGTGGATGGGGGCGTACCTTCAGCTCAGTGAGAGTGAAACCACGTCCAGCACGAACGCGGCGGTTGTACTTGATCGTCGGGCATCGAACGACGGGTCTCAGCTTGTCGACGGGTCGGGGTGCGACGGCAGCAGCCTTAGCAGCGCGCAGAGAGCGACGTCGGATCTTCTTGGTAGGCTACAATATTCCCATCTCCATGTCAGAATAACAGTACTCTCATCACCTCGTCGCTAGATTATTGAGGGCGTTCATCTCCATACCTGGTCGAAGTGGGTTCGGACCCGACGCTGCCAATCCTTTCGGAAGTCTGTGTAGGCTTAGTTAGTTCTTCTGGTCTGCAGTGCTAGGTGCAATCGCTCGATTCGTCATATCGAGCTGTCTTCGGTTGAACGTACGGTTGTGCTGAATCTGGTTGTTGTGCTTGATCGCCTGGGAACATGGATATGTCAGCGCGTCGCTCTTTCAAATCAAGATATTCCAACAGACAGTATGGCATTGCTACCATCAGATAACAATACATACCATTGTGACTGATTGCGATCAAGGGGTTGGTTGTGGAATGAATGGTCGTCTATCCTAGGTCGTCTCGAATCTCCGGATTGGAGGCACGAGAATTTCCCAGAGGTAGCAGTAGCAGGCTTGACCAACCCACACACTTTCGGCAAAATTTTTGGAGGGCTTGAAAACCCTACAATTACAATTTTGAAGTGGCGGTGCAGATGGATGTGCTCTAATATGTGGGGCTGGAGGCTCTAGTGGGGTGGCTTGAAATCTGGGTCCCAAGGCCAAATTAGGTTTAATGAATGTACCTACTACGTAGGTACTTTACATATGTAAGTCTGCTGGTTTAGGTACACGGTCTGTGCGAATTAAAGGGACCACCTCCAAGTCAAGTACATGTAGCATTGGCCTCTAATGCTGTTCTATCTTGGATGTCGCTCTCTAGGCTGTAGAGAGTCTCTGTCGCTTATGCGTCCCGCAGACGATGTGCGAAAACGCCTAGTCCGGTACTGGTGATTCCTATGGTTCTTTTCAATTCGCAACCTGTAAAACACGTCACCTCATCTACAAGACTTATCGCCAGCTCGCAATCAGAAGCGGCTATCACGATTGGAGGGTACAAATTATATGATGGTACCTATTCTTATGATATCTACGCGGCAACCATAGCCTAGCTCAGCAGTCCGAACTTTCGACGGGTGACCATTTCCATAGCCGCAAGTGACCATTTGGCTAGGCTCTGGCAGCTCACAATCTGACTTGATCATGACCAATGATCCTGTTACTTCTAACCAAAGATGAAGCCATCTTAATCCTATCGGAGCAAACACCCAGCTATCCAACCCGTTTTCTCCATTTCGATAGAAATCCGTATTTACACGATAAGGTCGCCCCTATTTCCAGAAGTTCTACTAATAAAAACCAAACCACCTATGCCACGCGCTAGCATCCAGAAGTTTACCCTCAGGTCTCACTCCGTCAGGTTAACGTTCTCGGCCGATTGTAGCCTCTGGAGCTCCGAGCCCGTGTGTTCTAGGCGATCCTGTACGTCTCCAAGCTCTACTCTTCTCCTTGCATCAATGTACATCATATATTCTTGATACGTGTCTTTACAATTAAGAGTTAGCCAAACGTTTGCAGATCTTAGAAGGCTGGTTGAGTTGTTCACTCAATTCAAAACGCTCGCCCACAGGGGCGAAGGGGAATCTTGCTGGGGGAAGCAGTGGGGGCAACAAGAGAGAATAGTAGTAGAATACACATACGTGGTAGAACCTTGACATCCTTCGGCACCGAGAAAGTATAATTGAACTGGCCAGTTGGTTTAGCGTTCCCATGCTCGACATCTCTAACCTTGCTATCTACTCTAACGTGCAATCGCGTTACCGGATTACTTGGATCCTTCTGCTTCGGTTCGCTTCCGTCCTCCTCTAGAAGCGGGGGATCTGTATATACGATGGTCGCGGTTAGGTATAAGACGCTGCCGACGGGAACCGGGTTGCGGAAAGTGCAGGGGTCAGCGCTGATGAACGTCGGCCGCGCATGCGCGAAGCTCGCGGCACAGCAGAAAGCTAACTCAAAGGTCTGCTTCAAGTGGAAACCGCCAAAGATCATGGTCTGGTGGCGATTACGATATTGTGGCTGCATGATAGATGCAGTCGAGAGTTGAGTTTTGGACATAGCTATCACATTCGCAGGTTGGCGAAGAGTATTATTAGGGTCGTGGTAAGCTACCTGTCGCAACCAGATCTTATGGATTAGGGCCGACTCGGGATCATTTGGCTCGGTCTCAAGTAGCGAGGTCTTCAGGTTCTTTTTCTTAGCTAATGCCTTGGCCTCTCCGGCCTTGAAGATTTCTTCTTCTTCAGGAGTCGAGCAAATAAGACGTGGTATAGTGACGGGTTTCTTTGTCGTGGGATCCAAGGCCACCATCGTGAAGGTACACGTAAGTAGCACGTCCTCGGGCTTGCTTGGTTCACCTTCGTCTCTGGCTCTGGCAACCTTGCATGTGATCTCGACGCTACTCCTTCCCGATGCGTATGTCACCTGTCCACTATATTCGAGGTCACTTATTTCGGTCAGCGGATGCGCAATAGTGATACGGTCGAGCGCAGCAGTAACGGTGGTAACGCCGGGACCTGTGTGTTTGTAAACGATAATTCCAGACAGGGCATCGAGATCCATAAATATTGTGCCTAGCCTAAAGTATACCTATCTTGTTAGAGGAAGCTGTAGAAGAGAGAAGCGGGCCGAGGACCTTATGTGACCAGAGGAGTTGATATAGGTATCGCTAAGCCAAGGATCACGGCCAAGCGGAAGTACAACTCGGTGGTAACTGTCGCTCATTTTCTTCGGTGTCAGGTCGCGCTCCTGCGACTGGGCCTCGTCGGAGGCTACATTCTTTCCTTCTTGCTGGAGTCTCCATGCCTCTATCCACGGCATTGGTAGGCGGTTATCGGAGAGACCCCGAAATACTCCGTCTGTGTAACGCGGAGCTGTGCCGTGGAGGCATCTCCTAGGACGGAAACCAGCACATCCGACAGTAGCACCGCCATTCAAAAATTTCGAGGGGGAAGTCAAGGCAAGGAGCCGCCTAACGGATGCCTCTCTGCCAGCCATGCCAAAGTTATTCATTAGAAGGAATGCATACAACATATATTACATACATATATGTAAGTAGGTACGTAGGGATTATGATGCGATAAAAATATTAGGTACAAAGTGGTTATGTTATGTACTTTGTACTAATGCCAACGTGGGGTATCTGCATTCTCGAGGTATATGTATATATGCATGTACATATGTAATTAGGGCATCATGTACATGATTCATTTAGATGACTCTCAAGGATGCCGGTACTTGGCAGCTTAGGTATGTATTTGTTGGATGTAAGTACATACTGAAACAGGTAGATCGATACTAGGCACGTGTACCTAAGTAGTGAACTTAGGATGTTGTAAATCCTACATGCACAGTGTTATGTAAAATGAGACTAGTAGGGAATTCAGAGTGAGATTTGGAAGGGCTCAAACTTCACACAATTCCGCAAAAATGTTTTGTGAGCACCAGAATGCTACCTAGAACAATACAGGAACATCAGAAGGTGAAAAAGAACATTATATAAAAGAGCAAAAAAAAGACGCCACAGGCGGGGGTCGAACCTATCACGTGACAGCATCAGTAATCAGGGTATGAAAGGAAGGACTGGAGCTATATACATACCCGCAACCTTGGGATTTCTTAGACGGTAAAAGTCCCACGCTCTGGCCAATTGAGCTACCGCGGCTTGGTAATTATCCGGTCATTTATAGTCAATTATATAACGTTGGCGGTATGCCACTCTGGGACTAGCTCAGTCACGACCCACATTTGAACAGCCCGCCAGCCCCGCCTGAGCCACCTGCATCTGGGTGCACCGTCATGCGAAGTCTTCCACTCATCAATGTCGCCCTCTACCAACTGACCCATTAAAGACCTCTTGTCACGATACAGACCTTGCACCTCAGGGAAGGGGAGGGAGATGGCTTTGTTTCTCAAGCAGGTCTAGACCTATCTACAAGGGATTATGGTATATAAACAGACATAGGCTCTTCTATTCTCCTGACAAGTCCAAGGTCCAACGGGTCGTCCCACCCGTAAGAACGTTCCTAACCCCTATAACTCAAGTATAATTCTAGAAGTCAGGGTCATAAACACGGCCGTGCCTTGGGGATGCCTTCCACTTGCTTCGTGAGCATGCCATATGGATCACTCGCAATCGCGTCACTACCGGTAGGCACCTGGGCACATACCATAAATATTACGCAGCATATCGAGCCGAGCAGTTAGTCAATCAACAGGTTCATAGCCGCGAATCTTCACTTTTCATTTTGTCTCGAGGAAGCCAAGGAGGTGGTGGCTGCGTCTTAGCAAAGATTACCTGGCTAGGTGAGCTACGTAGTCTGATTTCATAGAAGTCCTTTCCTTTTCTTACATTTAACAAGGAAAACCACGATGTGTCGCTTTCTTCCTTCGATTACCTGCCAGCTATTTACTTCCTCCTTGATTTAAACCAGGTGGGTGGCCAAGTGGGTGGTCGAAGTCTCCCCTTCTATAAGCAACATAGATCATCCTGTTTCTCAGCTATATAAGTAAATGATTTTCTTCGTCTTTCAGTCTATTTTCATTCCATCTCCTAAACTTACCAAAATCACCTATTATCTCGCACAGCTCTGACCCAAGACCCTTGATTCAATAAGGCACGAAGAGGGTAGAGGCCTTTCACCTAATAAGACCATCATAGCAGCACACCTCACTTTCCGGCTTTATTCTTTTAATTAGACACTCGAGGACACCCCTAAGGGAAGTCCGCCTGGTTCTAGACCACCCTGGTTCGCCGTAAAGGCCAATCCTGAACTGCAAGAAAACCATCCTTGGCGGTCATTCCTGCGACTTCATTACTGGAGACCAAGTTGTAGTGTCTATCTACGGATGCCTGTGCTGGCTACGAAAACATCTTCAGGAGGAAAGGTTTTCTGAGCTTATTGAAAAGCATCCCGTGCCGAAATTATCTGTTGATTTCCCCATAACCGTAAGCCCTCTAGTAACTCGAATCGTAGTGCCTTGCTGCTCAATATTCCTTAAGTCACCTTGAGACCTCCTTTGCCTACTGGGAACATGCTGGCTATATGAATCGACTATCCTCAACCCTCTTCAGTAATAAATGGGGCTCTCTTGCGATTTATAGGTAGAGGACGTTTGGATGAGCTATCGAATAGGTTCAGGTTAAGGTATCTGTTCTGAATCACATTATCAGAGGCCTTTAGGGGTGACGGATTACAATATTGTGTTGTCCTATATGTACAGTACCTGAGGAACTTCTGCGTCTTAATCTATTGATACATGGTGCGTCACGAGTATACCACCAAGTAGACCACTATACTCCACCCTTGAGACGTGAGAGCTCCCTATTCTTACGGACAAACCCGTGGCCTTCTAGAGGCAGATCCCTCTTCTTCAACTCTTCTTCTATGAGCTTGAACCTTCCAAGTGCCTTCTCCCTGTCGCCGCGTGTGATACGCTTTGTAGCGACAGAGACGTTTGGCAACTGGACGAGATCTTGCCGGCGCTCTTGAATCTCTTGAGTCAGAGTCTTAGGCTTCGCTGGCGTTTGCACCACGTGCAGTAACGACCGGACGTCAGATATACTTGATAATTGGTGATCGTGGACTAGCTGACCGGTGAGCTGGAAAACCCGCTTCGTAATCTAAAGACCCCTGCGTTAGTATGATATTCTATTTCAAGGAGAGGCTACAACGCTTACAGCGAATTTGAGTCGGGGGTCCGACAGAGAAGCAGCTTTCCAGTCATGACCCCAGGCCTCCTTATACTTGTGAGCTGCCTCAGCCGAGAGAACTGACCCGTCTGATGCCGGTTCTTCGGCGGCAGATTCGTCTGCGGTAGTTTCTTCCTTCTGGTTCAGAGATTGTACTACCGCAGAGACGTCACCAGCCAGCGATACAGCACCGTTATCTGTGACATTGACGTCCACTTCCATGACCTGACCGACCTCTCCTGCTATCGGCCAGGCCTTTACTAGATCATCTTCTCGACCCGCCTGCCGCAGCGCAAATGCCTCTACAACGGCCCGCCGTACTGAGGCCTCGATGACGGCTGGATCGAGGACCTTCTCTAGCGGCTTAAAGCCGGCGAAATCGGCCGACTTGGGCCAATGTGTCTGTTGATCCCACCAGTTCCCTAGCCCTCCAACTGTATCCAAGCCCTCCGCGGTTAATGCGGGCACGTATTCCGGATCCGAAACCTCGTCTGGCCGCTCGGCATAGCTGCGCTGAGGTGGCGGGACGTATGCCTGCCATTGCTGTGGATACTGGTCTTGTACTTCTTCTATGCCTCCTTCATTCAAATCGTTAGGCTGGGTTTCCCGTGTTTCCTCGCCATCCTGTCCAATCTGCTGGCTAGGTTGTCTGTCGGACGAGTAAAGTCGTGCAAATGAAAGGCATTGGAAGGTCATCGGTACAGGCCTACGATTTAAGGCCGAGATGGTCTGAGAGGATGCAGCTGGACATTGGGCGACGAGATGCGCGATTGGAGCACGTGTGGTCGAGGTAGATAGGCTGGATGGCCGTCTTAATCGCGGTATCCGTCGCATTGTGACCAATTGGTGAGCAATCAAGCCGCGGCTATCACGATGATGCTATACGAGTATATCGATATCGAAGACCTGGACTTTTTTTCTCTTAGTCGCAGGGGTTTGCAATGCCAGCTGCAAAATTGCCATGAACCCGAGTACATGTATTCCGTACTCTTTAGATGCATGTGGGCTTGACCGAGAGCTAAGTGGATCCTCAGCCACAGGAGGCTACATGGAGAACGTACATGTACATTAGGTACCTAGGTACCGGTCCTTACCTCTATCGGACTGTGCGAGTGCCTTCCCTGCGTGCATTGTACTTTCCATCATCTGTACATGTATTACCTAGGTACCTTAGTTCCAAGAAGCTTCAACTTCATCTATTCTTGTGAAAGCATACATATGTAACCCTCTACCTCTCATCATGCAAACGCCCAACCTTCCTTGAACTCCATGATTTGATGTCTATAGTCTCTTAATATCTCACGGATGAAGTGTACATGGTAGTTCATTCGTCGCGATATCCAATATATGGCCATTCGATGATTGCGACATGACGCGACTTTACTTCTCTCTACTCTTCGTAGGAGTCCTCGTCTCCTACGTCGCCGCAGCCTGTAAGCCACCTTGCCTTCGTAGCCTGCTCATTCATCCTTCATATACGTATACCCTACGTTAAACTAACCTCCCCGTCTCTTATACCCGCAGCTGCGCCGACATTTTGTAAATGTACTTGCTTCAAGAACAGCACATTGATCCAGCTGGGCCCTCAAGGCGACTCCTCTTCCTCCTTCGAGAACTCCGGCTCAGCTGCGTCGGGACAGTCGTTACGTTCGCTATTGCTCCAAGAGCGCGCCGCCTCCGCCTCGTGCACCCAATGCACCCGAGCCTTCTGCCTATCCCAGCATCTCCCCATCTGCAAGGACGCAGAAGAGAATGACGTCGTAGCCATGTGCTTTCAGCGCGATAGCCGCAAGGACCAGATTATCGTCTGGGGGTTCATTCTGGGCACAACATGTCTGTTAAGCTGGGCCGCCGCTAAAAGAGTTGTCGAGTTGCGTGAGGGCAAGAAAGCTGCCGCGCTAGGATTGGGCGGCTCCAGCGCAGGGAGCAGACGAGTAGGAGTCGCTGCCCAGGATAGGGGGGTATATGTGCCAGTAGGCCATGGTAATACACAAGGACCAAGCAGATGACGAATCCATGGTTGGTGTCTACGAGTTGTATCGGTCTGGAGGTCGGGGGTTAGGCGTTGTCAATGGCCTTTGCGATACTCTAGAGAAAACAACACGAAGAGAACTTGGTATGTTTTCGTACGTGCTTCCTGGGTTCCATTCAAATTTCAGAGCTGCGAAGGCATAAAAGGTGTCGCACACGCCCCGTTTTTCGTGTCCATACCAAAAACCAACGAGGATATAGATGACAAGGAAAAACTGCATCGTCGTCTCAATTTTGTAATAACCTATAGGTTACAACCAAACGCCTTGGTCCTTTTTGGTTTTTCCTCCTGATCAAATTCCCCAACCTCGTCGTCGAGCTGATAATTCCCAGATACCATGCTTCCCCAACAGCCATCCCTCTTATCCGGGGCTGCACCGCCAGCTTTCCCCTTAACCATCATCTTTCAAAGCCAAGCGCCTCTTTTTCCACCCACTCAGGCCCGATAAGATTGTGAATCATATACTCTGTCCTAGCATCTTATTCCTCTTCAAGAGGAGTAGCTTTAGGCTCTTCACCATTGCTATTCGGTGCGCCGTTCTTCTCCCTTCTAGCCCGGACCGCCGCTGCCAGGTCTTCGAGGACCTGAACAGTCGTTTCCCAATCGATGCAAGCGTCCGTGATGCTCACACCCTTTTTCAGGCCAGAGGGTCCTTCGGGAGGAACCTTCTGGTTCCCTTCGTTAATGTTGGACTCGATCATGACTCCGATGATAGCCTTCTCCCCTTCCCTCAGCTGATCGCCAATGACCTTAGCGACCTTGGGTTGGTTCCGGTGGTCCTTGTTGGAGTTGCCTTATTTCGTTATTAATTTACTCAAGACTCAAGTGCGTCATGATCAAAAATGGCGACCTACCGTGTGAGCAATCCACCATGATAGCTAACTTCTGTCCCTTCTTCGTCAACGTCTCTTTGGCAGCTTTGATGCTCTCCTTGTCATAA